GGGTGCCACTGCTTTAAAGGACCGGTCTCCTCGGGTTTTAAACGGGTCAGAGGAACCATAAGCAGGTTTTGACCTGAAGACCTTAGGCTACGGACCGAAGTATACGGCTGGATCAGACCTGTCATGTAGCCAGGCGCCTGTCCATGATGGGCCCTGATGGTAAAGACCAGGATTTTAAAATGTATTCTGGAGGCAACAGGAAGCCAATGTAGGGACTTCAGGAGAGGATTAACATGGGCTGACCTATTTGTACGGGTCAGGAGTCTTGCAGAAGAGTTCTGGACAAGTTGTAGGCGACCCAGCTCCTTCTTGCTCAGACAGGTAAACAGGCTGTTACAGTAATCCAGTCTTGAAGAAACGAAAGCATGGATGATTCTCTCCAAATCATCATGTGAGATGATTTTCCTTACCTTGGAGATATTGTGCAGATGGAAGTAACAGTTCCTGATCAGTTCTTTTGAGTGTAGCGCAAGGGACATCCCCTCACCGAAAATCACTCCAAGATTGCGTAGACTGGATTTGGCTGAGGAACATAGATCACCCAGGTGTTGTTTAATGTCGGGGATGGCCCTGTCAGGAGCAATAATGAGTGTCTCAGTCTTATCAGTATTCAGTGCGAGATAGTTGTCGTTTAACTATTGCTGAATCTGGGACAGTTCATCAGAGAGTGTAATTTGTGGACCTCTGAGGTTTTAAAGGAGCAGTACAGCTGTATGTCGTCAGCAAAAAGATTGTATGCTACATCACTGTGCTGCTGGATAATCTGGCCAAGAGGGAGGAGATAAAGTAAGAAGAGAAGTGGTCCAAGGACTGAGCACTGTGGAACACCATACTGGAGATCTCCCCACTCAGACATCATATCATTGACAGCCACACTGAAGCTCCTACCAGCTAAGTAGGAAGTAAACCACTCCAAAACTGGACTTAAAAGAAATTACAAAGGGCATTCAGTTGGTGCAGAGGTTAAGCATGCAACTAATGTATGAAAGCTTTGGTGCTTGATGTTGCTCTCAGGTTTAATGATCCGTCCCTTCCCATTCCCACTCTCCTATCCTGCCTGCATTGCCTCAAAATACTCTTAGAAAGCTGCATATTCTCTCCTTTCAGAGTCACTGTTTTGCTGGAAGTATCTAAATTAACGCTAAACTTGTTCTTCAAAGTAATTTTTACATTTATTTTTTTCTGGTGGTTTATTGTAATTGAAAAAAATTATAATAATGTGGTCATTAATATAAATAAATACAATTTCAGTTTATCATTTCATACATGTTTTTATTTATGAAACCGATAGAGAAACCCAATTATGGATGCAGTTTTATTCTCACTGAAGTTCTGAAATAGTAAAATCTTAATATATTTTTCACTGAAATGTAAAATATATATCGTTAATGATAAAATTAAGCTACTGTAGATCTCTTCTTTCACTGTCTGTTTCCAGAATGAGAGGAACAGTCAGAAACAGAACAGAATGGACAGAATATGCCAGAATATGCAGCCTGAGAATATGCAGCCTGAAGACTCTGCTGTTTATTACTGTGCAAGATTCGACAACCACAGTGACACAAACGAGCAGCAAAGCTGTACAAAAATGAAACAAAATGTAGACAAAGGTTACGTTTTCTTATATTAAATCATAATGAATTAACTCTATAATTTTAAGGTTCTTGTTTTGTATCAGAATCTCATGTTCTATAATTATTTTTTGGGTAAAAAAAAGAAAAACCCTTTCGTCTGTCTACTTTGTTACCTGTTAGTTATGTAATGGGACATGATTCTGCTGTTGGTCTATAGAGCATGAAATAAACCAACAACTAAACTGAAAATCTCAAAAGAATTTAATTAAAGTAGATAAAAACTAAAACATGGTCAGCAAGAAAGTATATTTATATCCATGAAATAAATATATTATTGAAGAAATGTTAGAATATCAATAAACAAAGATTAGTTTCTGGTTTACCTCTCTAAATGTCTGTCTAGATACAGAGGTACAGTACCAAAGAAAAGGGCTCAGCTGTATTCGTGGGTTGAGATTTAACAAACAGCTAAAAATGTGTATCAGAAGTGGAAGAGAGCTTCAGAAACTCCTCAGTATATCAAGTTCTCATAAAAAAAAACCACAAGAGAAACCAGTAGTTTGATTTATAATAGACTGCTGTAATAGAAAAAGATTCACTTTGTGAATTATCATCAAATGTTCCTAATGTTACCTGTTTAAATATAGAGAAATTTAATTCCTACAAAGTCTGATGTTGGGGAACTTTTATTGCAAATTTTAAAAGTCAGAATTTATTGATGGCCTGCTCTGCTCTGGTTGAAAGAGTAGAAAGATGATCTAATGTGATTAAATAAACACTAATTGGCCATTTTGTCCACATGAAAATCTAGGTTTTATCGATTTGATAAGATTGATGATTTGAGAAGAAAAGAAATCCCAGTCGATTGTTTAAAATACCGACATGTTCACTGTTTATCTTTAATTAAAATATTAATATGTCTCATTTATCATTACATTGTTTGAACAAAAACTTATATTTTATTCTGGCTAAAGAGAAGCAATACACCATTACTAAAATACTGCTTTAAAAACATATATTAATTCAATACTTTTAACAACAATAACAAAAAAACTGAAAATTTAAGTCAAAGAAACATCAAATGTTCCTAATGTTTCCAGAGTAAATATAAAAAAATGAAATATAAATTGAACACAACTGATGTAAATGATGATTAAATAATTATCCTCCCAATGTCACTGATTTAGTTCTGCAGGTTTAACCATAGACTAAAATCTGTTCTGCTGTCTGTCCTATTGACCGATCTTATAGTCGACTTTCTCTTTGGTTTCTTAGTCTTTGTTGTTAACAGACGTCATACATCATGTATCTGCTTATTGGGAAAAAACAAAAAAGGTGAAAAGGAAAGAGAAACTAGTTTATATATATACTGAATCAAACCAAGGCACAAATCTCTGTGTATCTTATAGAATTACAGAGGTATTTCAGCTGGATATTATATATTTAGTCCTATTATGCTCTATTTCTCTAAAAAGATTACCGGTAGACACATATTTAAACACGTGGTCAAAATTCTTAATTGGCTTCCTGTCATTATGCAAATGATTGGTTCTGGTTTAAAGTCTTGATCTGATGCTGTGAGGCTGCAGAAGAAGAGAAACTCCCATCAGATCATCTTCAACACCAACATGTTCTCTGTAGCTCTGCTGCTGCTGCTGGCTGCTGGATCCTGTGAGTCTGATTGAAGGAGAAACATTTACAGCATGATGATCCTAAACTGACTGTCTGTGTATTGATCCTAAATGTTTTCACTACAGATGTATCATGTGAAACTCTGACTCAGCCAGCATCTTTAACTGTGCAGCCAGGTCAACGTCTGACCATCAGATGTCAGGTCTCTTATTCACTGGGCAGCTACACAGCTTGGATCAGACAGGCTGCTGGGAAAGGACTGGAATGGATTGGAATTAAATATACTGGAGGTTCACACTATAAAGATTCACTGAAGAACAAGTTCAGTATTGATATAGACACTTCCAGTAGCACAGTGACTCTGAATGGAGAGAATATGCAGCCTGAAGACTCTGCTGTGTATTACTGTGCCAGAGAGTCACAGTGACACAAACAAGCAGCAGAGCTGTACAAAAACCCCTCAGAGCCTGAACAGTTATACCAAACCACCAGAGGAGGCGCTCTAGGACTATTTTTTGTTGCTTTTTAACTTGAAAGAAAGTTTTAACAACAAACTGAAATGTTGAGCAGTAACAATCATAATATATTAAAATATGATTATGTAGTTCCTTGTCGTACCATAAAGTGTTTTTATATTATCATGCAAATTAACAGTCTCTGCTGTGTATTTCTGTCTTGTCTGGTTTATAGTTTGTGTCTCCAGCATCAGTGTGATGAACACACTCTATGTTCTTCTTTTCCTCTTCTTACAATTGAGTTTACAAAACTCAATTTCCAAATGATCAACACACTCCTAGCAGAACAATACACATGTATGGATTTTATTTACACTATTTTGCCAACTGTCTGGCACACTGTCACATGTTAAAACTGTTTTAGATAATTATTTAACACTTAAATCAGTCTAAGCACTATAAATAGGCAATAGACGAGTTGTCTGTGTGCAGTACAATGGAGGGAGCAAGAAGAGTAAGGAGGAGGACATGAAGGGGAAGAAGTAGGAGACCAGATATGTCATCATATGGACAATATCAGTTTTCATTGTGCTGTTTTTTTTTATTGGCTTTGGAAAAAAACAAGAGAAAAGTTAAGCAAGATGTATTGGCCTTTGCAAGAGAACTACAATGTTTTGCTGATTTGGTGAAATGTTTTATTTTTGTCTAGATTTTTGCAAAAAAAAGCCAATAGTAACAATGATTGCCCTAAAGCCATTAAAGGAAAACCCCAAAGTCTACATTTTTAGATATAGATAAGAAAATTTTGCCTAAAAATAAATTTATGTAACATACTCAATGTCAAACAGAATTCAGACTATAACTAATAATGCGACACTCAATAAATGTGTGGTAGTGCTGACCTCTTTTACATACAATGATGAAAATAATACATTTCTAAATTAGAACACTTGATGTCTGTTAAGTTTCAAGATATTTGCAAACATACTGTAAATTTTATAGAATTTATAAAATAAATCACAGTGACCTTTACAAATACATAAATATTGTAGATCATGAACAGACATGATTTTGCTATTTCAATACATCAGTAACGGTATTTATTGTAAAGAAGCAGCAGAGATGTGCAACAAATCTCAAAAAGTGACAAATGTTTATTTTTTATGAGAACACATTATCTGTAATACAAACTGGAAACAAATGTGCCTTTTATTTGTTTCTGTCTGAACAAAAACGGACATTTCTTCAATCTGGGGAAAAGCAATAATCCACTGGTTGAATAGTGCCATGAAAACAATGATAATTGAGTTCAGAGATAATAAGTCAAAAGAACTTTCAGATATGTTACATTTTTTAAACAGAAATATAAAATCATTGACTTCCACAAGTCATCGATTTAGTTCCACAAATTTAAGCAAAGACTAAAATCTATTCTGATGTCTTTCCTGCTAACAGCTCTTATAACTTTTGCCTAAAAATAATACATAGTAATATACAAATTCTTCCATTGCATTCCCATACATCATTTTTAAGAGTGTACTATACTGTAAATGCAAAATTATTCCTATTATTAGATAAATTATTATATAAAAACTAAAACATGGCCTGCAAGAAAGTATATTTATATCACTGAAATAAATATATTTGAGAAGAAATGTTAGAATATCAATAAACAAGATTAATTACTTGGTTTTTCCTCTCTAAATGTCTGTCTAGATACAGGGGTACGATAGAAAAGGGTTCAGCTGTATTCGTGGGTTGAGATTTCCTGTTTTTCAGGAATCGTCTCAACATGTGGTTCAACAGAAATACTTCTTAGTTACTTCTTTTAACAAACAGCTAAAAATGTGTATCAGAAGTGGAGGAGAGGTTCAGAAACTCCTCAGTATATCAAGTTCTCATAAAAAAAAACATGTTACTAATGTTACCTGTTTAAATATAGAAAAACTAAATTCCTAAAAAGTGTGTGAACTGTTATTGTAAAATCTAAACGTTACAATTTATAATGGCCTCCGCTGCTCTGGTTGAATTAGTGGAAAGATGATCTATTGTGATGAACTAAACACTAATTGGCCATTTTGTCAACATGCAGATGTAGGTTTTATCGATTTGATAAGATTGATGATTTGAGAAGAAAAAAAATCCCATTAGATTCTTTTCAACACCAACATCTTCACTATTCATCTTTAATTAAAGAATTAATACATCTCTTTTATCATTACATTGTTTGAACAAAAAATTATATTTTATTCTGGCTGAAGAGCAGCAATAAATCATTACTAAAATACTGCTTTAAAAACATATATTGAATTCAATACTTTTAACAGAAACAACAAAAAAACAGAAAATAAAAGTCAAAGAAGCATCAAATGTTCCTAATGTCCCCAGTTTAAATATAAAAAAAAAATGAAATTCCTAAAAAGTCTGATGTGTGTGAACTTTTATTCTAAGTTTTAAAAGTCATAATTTATTGATGGCCTGCTCTGCTCTGGTTGAAAGAGTAGAAAGATGATCTAATGTAATTAACTAAACACTAATTGGTAACTTTATCAATAGGTAAACTGAGGTTTTAGAGATTTGATCTAAAGCTGTCGTCTGCAAAAGAGGAATAAATTTCCCACTAGATCATCTTCAATACCAACGTGGTCTCTGTTAACTTTTAATTAAATAATTAATATTTCTCATTATCATTACAGTGTTTGAAAAAAAACTGCTAATTCATCTGGCTGAAGAGAAGCAATAAATCATTACTAA